ATATATGAAAAAGTTAATTGGTAATAAAACTCAGAGCATTTTAAAAATGAACCTCCACATAAAATTACTGTAGTGCATGAAAGCCTCAATCAGAACTCATCTGTGCTGTGTGTAGAATCAGTCTCTGCCTCTCATATGAATAGATGTAATCTCAGCAACCAGACACAATAAATACAAGATGAAGGGAATGGCAAGCATAGCAGCAACACAGAAATAATTCCAGAGGCTAGGAATCACAACATGAAAATTATTTCATTATTTCAACTCGTTAATTATTCATGCAGCAGAGATACAGGAAATGGCAGGAGAAAACTACTGAAAGAGCAAGCAATTGAGAAACACTGATGAAGAGGTTTAGAAGGGTATAGAAGAAAAGTTATGAAAAACAGTGGATAAAAAAAGAAAGGGGTTTAGGGTAAGGTTTCACATTCAGTAGTAGGGCCAACGTTAGGCATTCCTTCTGTTTCTCCACTGCTCATTATTCCTGGTCTAGCATTGTGGTGTACTGCTTCCTACTTACTAACAGTCACAATCATTTATGAAACTGTACTATGAGTCATCCAAGGCTGAAAAATAACCTGATTAAAAAAAAAGGAAAAAAAAGACATTGACACAACTAAAAGGAAAACACAGGAGTAGAAATGAGCAGCTGCAACGGAAAAATAGGTCACGCCAACATTTCTCCCAGCAAAAAGGTGCAACCATGGAATTAAAGACCAATGTCTATGTTCAGACCATATAAATACACCTCTCAACTCTGCCTTATAACTTGTCATGCTACATGCAGAGTAAAACATGTTTGGATCACATCAGGTAACAAATAGTGAAAAGTTACACAGCAAAAGGTGGCCAAAACACTTGGTTAATGTTGGGGAACACATTTTTCAGAAGTGTACACCTTTCACTGAGGAATCCACCGATGCAGGACACTTCCAGTTGCTCTTAGCGACTTTTTTCTCCACTTCATCCTCCAAGTCAAATCTAGGATTCCATGTGCACGATCTACAGTCTATTGTTCAGGTGTATAACATGAGAAGTCACAAAGTATGATGCTACATTGCTTAAATGCATGAAATGGAGAAGGAATGAAGAAGAACAATGAACTGGCTCATCAAACATGAGGAGCAGTACATGGTACACAGTAATACTTGGTGCTCCAGGTGGAGACAGTGTCTACCTTTCCGAGACTCAAAGGGAGTCTTCTATTATGTGCTCCATTCCCTCTTCGTGCAATTTCATCATCAGGAGACATCCTTACCATCATCAATTTCAATCATTTAAGGACAAAACAAGAACTTTACTTCTATTCAGACATTGCTATTAGATACTACTGATGTCATTTTTGGAGGAACTGAAGAAACTGCAGAACCAGTTGCAAAGCAGAGGGAGAGAAATGAGTCAAAAATAGCAGGTTAGGCCAAAGTTCTCTTATTCATTTATGATATGTTTATGTCAATTCAGCTTGGAGGGTGGGGGCAGTGCAACGCAGGACAATTTAAAAGTGTTTGCAGCCATATTTGTGAAGTGGTTTTCATTATAAACCCTTATTCATAAAAAATACAGGCTAAAAATTTTCACACTAAATACACTTTTAGAAATTCTTTTTTACTACTGTTACTACAACAGAAGTTAAAAACTAGATGAAGCAATAAATCAAAATTTGTTCTCTGAAAGCTCAGTTTTAATTTGAAAAACATAATTTTGTAACATTTGGAATGAACACCCTAAGTGTATGATTCAAGGTACTACTTAACATCCACTTGATCTCACAGTGAACCTAAATTCAATCTCATTTGTATGAAATGTCCTGGTCATTTCACCAGTTACCCATTTCAAGTGCCCTTAAAAACAGCTTTTACCACTAGCATTTAAAACTGTTTCACATTCAAAGAAAATTATTAACTTCAACAATTGTATAAACCCATACAATAGCAGCTTTTCACTTGACTGGACTTGAACAATAAACATCACAAGTAACCTTCGGGTAAGAGATGTTGCTTTCATTATTTCTGTTGTAAAAACTTTGAAATTAACAAAAATAAGACTACAGGGAAATAATTAATACATAAAACTACAAAGAAAAAGGAATAAGCTCTTATCTGCATTTACTGGGGATCGTGAAAGATATAAATCACCACAAGAAAGATTTAATTCAGTATTAACAAAGAACTCTCATGACAAGAGCAGTTAAGCACTATTAAGAAAAACTGACTAGTGAGTTTGCATAATTTCTGTTATTTGAGGTTTTTATGGATTTCAAAATACTAGTGGTACCATCTTTTTCTTTAAATCAGTTCTGACAAACTTCACTAAGCATATTTTATTCAAAGAGGTGGCAGGAAGCTATCCAGTTTGCTACTTGTGTTAGTTTTCTGCTGTTCTAATGAACTGAATCAGCAAACACCTGACAAGCATCAGAGATGGCATAGAGGAAGTAGTAACAACATGTGCCCAATGACAGGACTTTTAACCTTCATCAATAATGAGTTATGTCAACTCACCTCATCTCATAAGACTATATCTTAAAAAACAGATTAAGCCAACGGATTAGACAAACATCTGCTAATAACACTGTAAATACAATTTATCCTTCCTGGGGCTGAGAGGAGTAGACCAGAATTCTCGAGGTCATTCGCTGTATCACTTTACTTAAGTTTTAAAAGGCAACATAGAGCCCATTTTGAATCCATTTAGTGAAACTTTAACAAAACCAAAATTTCACTTAATATATACAGAGATAGATATTTGCCCACTTAGCACTGCCAAAATTAGATATGTCTAATGTAGCATGCATTTACCTCACACGTGTTTCCTATGTAAAATACCATCTTGCTGAAAGGATAAGCCTAAAACATTTTATGACTCCATCATTTCAGTTTTAATCTCTTAAGTGGGAATTCAGTTTTCAAGACCTTACATTTTTTAAGAAAACCTGCTAAATGCGTATTAGCTGTAAAATGTTGGCTGTACATACCAACTTCTTGAGTATACATCTCCAGTTTTACTCCCATTGCCCAAAGTTGGCTGGAGCAGAAGACTGAAAACGATAGACTAGTATGGGTTCTGACCTCTCTGAACAGCAATGGAACTGGAATACTCTGAGTCTTACAGGAGACTTGCAAGGTGACGAAAAGTTCAGGAGTTACATAGAATCATTAATGTCACTGGTGATGCTTTAGTCCATCATTTACACCAGCCTGTGATTGGAGGTCTGGTAGACATTCACATCATATTGTCTGCAGAAGACTTCAGGGAAAGGAAAAAAACACGTAAAGCCAGCAAAACATAGCTGTATTCTAATCAGAAGTCAAATAATAACAAAGGCTTCCTCACTTAAATATCCTAATTCCTTTTTGTTAATGCATGAACCTAGTTCTTTGGTTTATACAAGCAAAACACTACTTGGTCAAGCACACATATAGTTTCCCTTTTTTACAAGTTATTAAAGCACCTTTTCCTGTAATTCACTAACATACCTGCAGCATATTGGTCAGAAAACAAGGAATCCATTGAGAAGCTTGAAAGCTGGGGGGGAAAAAAACCCCTAATTCAAATGTCAATACCATATTTAATTTGATAAGCTTGTATACACTTCATGAGTCACCTGCTCTGGAGACCATATAGGAAGGAATACAACATATCACCTTGCCCATTTTGACTATTCCTTTTCAGAAAACCACAAATGCTTCGAAGAAGAGAGACTCTTCTCTTATTTGCACAGAACAAAACGTGCTACATTAGGCTGGACTTTCAAGACAATTTATAAATATGGGAAATTCACCATCACCAAGTACAACTCAGAACATGCACTAGAAATGGAGAAGATCCTAATCGAGCTGCTACATGGAAAATTAATCTGTCATAAAAGCAAAGTTTTTGTCAATTATTACATTTATATTCGGGGAAGAAAGCATTGTCAACATACGTCCATCTTTTTTTGCCTGCTAATAATTATTCCCACATGCATTCCTGGTCATTAACACAGTATTTTGTTGATTCTTCCTGTCCAAAAATATATGTGCCTAACACTCACACACACAGAGAGCTTCACTGCTACCAAACCAGGGACAAAGCCAAAAGTGACTGACAGGTCTGTAATTTCTACATATGCATATATGAAGAAGAGCAAGTCATGAAAAAAAAGTAGAATAATGTAATAAGATACACCAAAAATGTACGGGAAAAAAATTATCATTACACGTGAAAAGAGCAAAGACAGCATCTTCTGTGAAGACAACATACTTCAGAACACTTAAGGAGACCTTTCAACCTCGATATAGGAAATCCTTAGAAGCCAAAATGGGCTGACTCCCCACCAAAACATGCTTTCCACCATAATTTTCTCCAGAGACTTCCACTAGAATATAATTTTATCACTGGGTGCTGGGAAACCATACTAATGCACATTCAGAATTTAGGGCAGTGTTCACAAGAAAAACCTGCCTTTTGTCCTGATAGTCATAATGACCCTTTTCGTAGTATTTCCAACACGATCAGATGAAACTAAATACAGTGCAGTTCATATTGTGACTGATGTAACGTGGGCAGGGAACAATACCATGGAAAAGAAAAAGCCAAGGATCTTTGTCTCCTTCTAGACGGATTGCCAAGTCTCAGTAGTTGGAGGGAGAAAAAGCACAGCATCCCAAATAAAACGCTGCAGTGCATGTTCACCATTTCAGCAAAGTCGCTGCAGCTTTAGGCAATCCCGTAGGAAATCTGGACCCCTCAAAAGAAAGCCCAAGCTAAAAAAAAACAAACAAACAAACAAACAAAAGGACAGAAAACAGCACTAGCTTAAAAATTGTAGAAGAAACAAATAATCCACTGGCTGTGGAAATAAAGCCCAAGGAGCTCACCAATCGCATCGCAACCAATACTACAGAGATAAGATCGGCAATAACCAGCCATAAATCTATTAAATGCTGTATCTTCTCGCCGCCGCCGCCGGTGTTCGGGCGCAGGCGGGCAAGGGCTGCGGGCCCGGTAGTGGTGCCTACCTGCGAGAGCTGCCGGGGGTTGGGGCAGCCGAAGAGTGCGGAGCTGGAGCTGAAGCTGATGGCCCCTCTGCGGCTGAGGACGTGCTGCGGCACCGGCCTGTCCAGCGGCAGCACGGGCAGCTGGTAACATACTTCCATTGACGAAGCCTCGGTGCGCCGGCCCGCCGCGGGGCAGCGGCCTCGCCCGCCGCACCTGCCCGCGCAGGGCTCCCCGCAGCGGGGAAGGGCCGGCGGCGAAGCCCCGCGGGGGCCCGGCGCCTCCTCGCCGCCCCCGCGCCCCCCGGGGGGCCGGGCCGGGCCGCGCCGGGCCCCGCGCCTTTGTGCTTCGCTGCCGCCAAAGCCCGGCGGGAGCCGCCGGCGGGAGCTGGGGGGAGGCGGCGGAGCGGGACGGCTCTGTCAGCGCCCGGGGCGGCGAGTCCCGGCCCGCAGCCCGCGGCCGCCGCCGCTCCCTCCCTCCCGCCCGCCCGCCCTCGGGCGCGCTGCCGCCGGCGGGAGCCGCTGTCAGCGCCGCTGCCCCGCGCCGCGCATGGAGGGCCGGGGGCCGCGCCAAGGGACACGCGCCGCGCTCGCCCCTATTGTCCGGCACGGCCGGGAGCGGGAGCGGGAGGAGGAGGAGGAGGAGGAGGCGCCGCTCCGCTGAGGGGAAGGGGCCGGGCCGTCGGAGAGGGGACCCGGGCAGGAGGGGGAGGAGGAGAAGGAGGAGGAGGAGAACGGAGAGGAGGAGGAGGAGGAGGGAGAGAAAGAGGAGGAGGAGGAGGAGGAGGAGATGGAGGAGGGATGGAGCCTCCGCCCCGCCCGCGCGCCGGCCCGGCTGGAGGAGCAGGCACGAGCCCGGCGGACCGTGCGTGGGTCGCGCGGCTGGCGACACGCGCACAGCGGCGTCATCACGTCACCGCTGCCCACACTCGCGCTCCCCGTCCGCGCGCACCAGGCAGGGGCGGCTCGGCGGGCGCCGCACGCATGCGCCCTCCGCCCTCCCCTCGCGCCCTCGCAGACGCCCTCGTTCCCTCCCTCTCCTACTCTCACGGAATCACAGAATCACGGAATCATTTAGGTTGGAAAAGACCTCTGTGATCATCGAGTCCAACCTATGACCGAATACCACCGTGTCAACTAGACCATGGCATTAAGTGCCATGTCCAGTCTTTCCTTAGACACCTCCAGGGACGGTGACTCCACCATCTGCCTGCACAGCCCGTTCCAATGTCTAATCACCGTTTCTCTGAAGAAATTCTTCCTCATGTCCAACCTAAATCTCCCCTGGCACAGCCTGAGGCCATGTCCTCTTGTCCTGTCACTTGTACACCGACTGCCAGCTCACTACACCCTCCTTTCAGGCAGTTGTAGACAGTGGCAAGGTCTCCCCTGAGCTTCCTTCAGGCTAAACAACCCCAGCTCCCTCAGCAGCTCCTCACAGGACTTGTGCTCCAGACCCTTCACCAGCTTCGTTGCCCTTCTTTGGACTCACTCCAGCACCTCAATATCCTTCTTGAATTGAGGGGCCCAGAACTGGACACAGGACTCGAGGTGTGGCACTGCTCGTGTGAGATGACCCAGGCTGGAAAGAAGATAGTGGGTGTTTGTCTTGGTGCCCCCATGTTGTAACATGCCATACTCGAGGGAATGGCGTGAGGCTGTGTCATGGGAGGTTTACTTTGGATATCTGGGAAAAGGTTTCTCACCAGAGGGTGGCTGAACACTGGAACAGGCTCCCCAGGGAGCACCTTGGTCAGAGCACCAAGCCTGTCTGAGTTCAAGAAGGGTTTGAACAACGCTTTTGGGTACATGGTGGGATTCTTGGGGCTGTCCTGAGCAGGGCCAGGAGTTGGACTCTAATGATCCCTTCCAACTCAGGATATAATGATATCCCTTTCAACTGAGGATATTCTGTGACTGTGTCCATCAGCCCTCAGTTCCCTCCCCTGCTATGTCCTGAGGGCTGGGGGAGCCACACTGAGGGAGCTGTGGTCTCACTGGGGTCTCACCTGATCTGGCTTCTCCTGCAGGAGGCTGGGCACCAGTCACCAGGGCCTGGCCTTGAATGCCCAGCTTGGGGCAGCTGCTTGAAAATCAAACACGGAAAGACAGTTTTGTTTTAAAATGCACTATGTATCAACAGCAATGCACTGGGGAGTTTGTATTTGCATTTGAACCCTTGCTGTTCATTTTTAGAGTGTGGAGGGGTGGGGTTTTTTGCAAGACAAAGAGGTAGAACTGTGTAATCTTTGTTAAGGTAAAAAATGAGATTCCTGGAAAACCACACAACTCCAGGAATTGTACTCTAAGGGAGAGAAGGAATAATTCATTATGTGATCTGGACCGTCGCATCACATTATGTACATCACATTAGCTGGAACACTTAGAAATAAACTTTGCATTGGTTTTTTTTCTTTTTAGGACTAAGCCTCTCTTTGTGTCTCTCTGCAGCTGCTTTTTTATCCCCATCCTTTCATCTCTTATTTCTCCATCATAAAAAAAAAATCCTAAATATAGCATGATAGGTAAAGGAACATTTCTGTTCTTTGCATAATATATGAAGTGCCTGTACCCACTTAAAAATCATATTTTGCAAAATGATTCATATGATTTAATTTTGCATAATACATTATTCTTCTAAGTGCTTGCTTACTGGCAGAAAGGTTTAGATTTCACATGATAATAGTTATTTATAGGCAATGACACAGCTTTGGAGGAGCCCATTTGGAAAGAATAGGTGGTTTGTATGGAAGATTTTCATCTGCTTGAACTAGTTATAGAAGCAAGAAGTTTTACAGATGTGGACTGGTGGCTGTTTCACCTGGAGCTGTGAAGTTAACAAATGCACCTTGTTCTTTTGCAGAACTGCAGTCCCACGTTGTCTCATGGATAGTCACAAGGTCATACAGACACGAGAGAGGACATTGGATCAAGTGCCATGCCTTAAAAGCTTCTTCAGCTGTTTTTCTCACCGTTTTTGAAATAAATATCTCACAAGCATTCTCAGTATTTATTTATAATGTATACATGCAATAATTTGAGATATAATAAGCACATAGTAATTCAAAGTCAAATCACATACTCAGCCTTTTTTTTTTCCAGTAATTAAGACATGTCAGGTTTTCTTCTGCATTCTTTGACAGTTTACTCATGTTTGGCCTGTTAACATTAAGTCTACAGTGCATTTAAGTTACTGATAGAACACCACCAGCTTCGCTGGAATCAGGATTTCCATCTCATTCATTTTTCAAAATTACTACTAATAATGAATTATCTTCCTGTACTCGGGTAGGATGGATTTTTACACTAGTCAATCTAAAATTCAATTCATAAACAATATGTCATGTCTTTTAGGGGAAAAAAGTGCATATTCTTACTTTCACTGAATATAAATAGTGCATATTTCAATCCTATAAGGTCAGACTATGAGTAAAGATTATTGATAATGAGTTTTATGGTTCCTGTCAGCTTTGCGTACTTTCCACCTGATTGGTTGAAACTAGTTCTTTAAGGTCATTTTAGTTCTCAATCTGAGCCAGTATAGCCTTAAATAACATAACCAGTATTATCCCTCATATTATCTTTGATCTCTAATTAACATTACACAAACACCTTTAAGGAAACTGAAAATACATTATTATGAAGTAAGCATAGGTTTTCCAGGCAGTGGCTGTTTCCATAAGTGTGCTGCTTTCAGGACACAAATTACTATTTTTTAATAAATACAGAAGTTAATATTAGCCAGGCGTTGATTTCTTGTATAAGCTTACAAGGAAGACTCTTATAGAATCATAGAATGGCTTGGGTTGGAAGAGACATTAAAGATCATCTAGTTCCAACCCCCAATCTTTCCTCTGAATAATAGACAAAGCCTTAAAATTATGATGTAGGTCACATATTTTCAGCCTAAATATGTTTGTTACAAAAAGAATGCATGTTCTGTGACTTATATCCTGCCAGTTCCATCTGCTGTCTTCACCTGCCGCAAGTTAAGAGCTTGCAGAAAAGGCAAGAGGTTTTTATTGATTTGTGTCATAAAACTATAGCAACACCAAAGTGTTCATTCACAGCCTTTTGTTTGAATTAAGTTGTTCTAGTGAACCGTGGAGTTCTTTGAGTACCACAGTGCTGCATGTCTTAAATGCATCATAGGACATCATGAGGTGCCACAGTTCAGCTGTGTAAGCCCTGCATACTGTGAATTCTTTCTCATGGCAGATACAGCCATTAATAGAGACTGATTAGAATATTCAAATTTAGGGGGGTATTAAAAACATTTCAATGTTTCTTTTCGTATTTGCAGTTAATGTCTTTTACACATCATTATAATTTTCAGGGTGCTGTTAGCAAGGAAGAAGCGTGACTGATGGCCAGACTTATCAGAAGGAACAGCACTCACACGAAACTGGAGAGATGGAAGATCACAAAATCAGAGTTAGTTTAGTTTTCTGGTTACTGTGAAAAGAGGGTGAAATCACACAGGCACTCCAGCAAGACATTCTGCTGGGCTAACTGCATGGCACAGAGTGCCTCTCTGGGGCACAGCCAGCTAGCACTGTCAGAACTGAACAGTCTGAACAGAAGAGGATGCTTTTCCCATGTTCTCATACAAAATGGAAAATAAGGATCCTCAAAGGCATAACATGTTTGTACTTTGAAAACACCATGAGAACACAGAAAATATTTATTTGTACAGGTAAATGACCAAGACAAGCACAAGAGATTTTAACTTTTCTTCTTACCTGAAGAAGTTATGTGATATAAAAGGCAGGGTTATTTCTGTAGACAAGTAGAAAGTCGCTTTGTTTGCTATGTCCTTGGTAACTGCATTTTTAGACATTGGTTTTGGCATGTGCCATTTCTTTGGCACATAACCAGATATGTCTTTTTTTTTTCACCCAGACTTATTATCTGAGTGAATACTGTGTATTTCCATAGGAATTCCAGACCTCTGGCAGCTCATTTGAAATGTACTTATGTCCCTATTTGATGTGTCCCTTCCCTCTGCCTTGTCCTGGGTCTGTGTTGGGCTTGTTTAAATTTTTGTGGCAATACAACATTCTTGACTCCTACTTTGCTTGCCATCCCCTGCACCCCAGATATTTTCTACAGAACTTTGCACCATCCCCTCAGTGTATTCGTCCTTCCTGAGTGGGATAATTTGCACTTGCCTTTACCTGAGTGTGTTGTGATTTCCT